TTTTTTTTTTTGCTGGAATGTCCACTTTAAAAGCTTTAATAATATTGGTAGGTTGTCTGTGTGCAGCTACATGTGAACAGAATTAGTTATGAGGTAAAGAAACAGGTAGATTCGGGGGGTGGAAGGTGCAGTAAATTTTAACCAGGTGTAAATGTTTATTTACAAACTAAGTAGATTAATAAACATCACAGTAGTCACTACCAGTTTGATAAGTGTTTTAAACATGCAGATTCTGTATAACTCAAAGATTTTAAATAAAATCATAAAGGGGGAATTTCTGCTACTAGAAGATGGACTTTGACAAGAAAAGAATAAAATGAGGCAAGGCATCCTTGAATAAAGGCAGTTTAGCTACAACAGAGCCTCTCCCAGAATTGAAAATTCACACTACCTGCTCACAGGTATGAGAGAAATTAGTGGTACTCCAAAAAAACTAAACAATGCCAGGGCAAACTATGTCAAAACAAATGTTAAGGGAAAATGCTCCCTTATAGTATAAGTCTACCAGATTTTTAAAATCCCAAGTCACAAGTTTATTGGCTAACTCTAGAATCAAGCCAGCCATTCTAGATCATCAAAGGAAAAATGTGACAACAGAACAAAACAAAACAATCTGAATGAATTTGTGTAATTGGTATGCAAGTCACCAAAATCATTTTCATCATCTCACCTACCCAATTGGATAACAGAGATTATCCAGTGGAAGACAAGAGCAATTAAAAGCTTTTTCTTGATTTATCTCAGGTCATTAATATGAGGACTGTGGAGCCAACAGCAACTGCTCTAACTATTGACTACATCCACGTGCCATGCTATAGGTAAATGCATTGCATAAACATTTAATGTTCATAACCTTGGGAGGTAATTCTGTCATTTTTGGTGAAAGAAATAAAGCTCTGTGACATTTAAAACCTTGTCTAAAGTCACACAGCTACAGCAAGGTTCCCAAATTGATGTTTTTTTATGCCATATCACACAGACTCTTGACTGACAAACATCAATTTTCATGATTCAATATCATGTCAAAGTTGCAGGCAGTGGACTGAACACATACTAATCAGTCACTGTTTAAATAATCATCTCTCACCTAAGTCTTTAAATAATAAATTATTTTCAAGTGTGTACATTGAGATAGGAAAGGGGAGGGAGGAGATTACAGTTAGTTGGGCCTCCCAGTAGTTCCACGGAACAATGGAAGTTTGTTCTAAATGTTCGTTTTTATTTTGCACATGCCATGAAATAAAGTAGAATAGGGAAAATGCAGAAATCATGTAAAACCATAAAATATAATAAATTGTTAAACTGTCACCTAAAAGATCACCTTTTAGAAGATCGAAGTTTTTTCCTAACTTTAATCTTTGCATCATTCTGCTAATAAGTTTCCTGGTCTCCTATCTTCATTACTTTCTCTCAATATCATATTAGTAGAAGCAGGTTAAACAGATCAGCTTACAAATGTTTTACCAGTCAAAATATTATAATGTAGCATTTCTAATAACAATTCCTTAGCAATTTTCCAAAAAAAGAATTGCTCTAATATTGACAATTGACAATTTTGGTTACTATTTCTAACACATACACACACACACACGCACACATGCACGCACACACACACACACACACACACACACTTTTCATCAGTACTCTATGTTGAAAATGATCCTTTTTTAAAGAAAAAGACCAGTAACACTACCTGTTTATATAACTGCCTATCTTTTATCTGCTATATGTTAACCGAAACGGAAAGACAAAAATCTTCAAGGTCACATAACAAAACTAAGACACATCAAAGGTGTCAAATGTTAGGGAGAAATTTCTTTTTTTTAAGTTATAATTAGAAGCAACAGAGGTACTAATTTCCTTTTTTCAACTCAGCAAGGCTGTTCTACTTTTTTAACCCAGCAAGGTTAGGTGATTATTTTCTGAAAGAAGTTGCCAACTGTATTTCCAACAAGAAATTGATCAACACAAACCTCATTAAAAAAATAGTGTTCTCTGAAAACGTGTGCAGAATGGATAAAATGTGGTACATCCTTATGATAAAATATTATTTACAGTAATAAAAAGAATGGAGTAGTGATACATGGCACACCACAGATGAACCTTGATAACAGGATGCCAAAGTAAAAGAAACCAGTCACAAGAGAGCACATATTCTATGATTCCACGCACTATAACTGAATTGTCCAGAATAGGCAAACATACAGAGACAGAAAACGGATTAGTAGTTCCCAAGGGCTAGGAAGAGTGGGGAAGAACAGGTCATGACTGCTAACAGGTACAGATTTCCCTTTGGTGTTATAAACATGCCCTAAAATTGATTATAGAGATAGACATGCAATTCTGTACAAACTAAAAACCATTGATTTTTACACTTTAAGAAGATGGATTAAGCCGGGCGCGGTGGCTCAAGCCTGTAATCCCAGTACTTTGGGAGGCCGAGGCGGGTGGATCACGAGGTCAAGAGATCGAGACCATCCTGGTCAACATGGTGAAACCCCGTCTCTACTAAAAATACAAAAAATTAGCTGGGCATGGTGGTGTGTGCCTGTAATCCCAGCTACTCGGGAGGCTGAGGCAGGAGAATTGCCTGAACCCAGGAGGCGGAGGTTGCGGTGAGCCGAGATCGTGCCATTGCACTCCAGCCTGGGTAACAAGAGTGAAACTCCGTCTCAAAAAAAAAAAAAAAAAAAAAAGAAGATGGATTATATGGTATGTGAACTACATTGCAATAAAGCTGTTTTGTTTTTTTTTTAAAAAAGGTATGCCAGGCATAAGAACCACCTACCTGTAATTATACTAACAAATTAGCTAGAATTAGTAACACTTTTTTGCCAAAACCATAAATGCAGAATATAGTAATTCTTCCACATTTTAAACTACTTTTCGCCACTTACATGTTGCAGTGGCTAGCATTATTCAATTAGTGGTTGAAGGCACAGGCTGGGTTACATTTCCTAGCTCTATCACTTAGTAGCTATGAAATTACAGGCAAGTTACTTCCCTTCCCTGAGCCTCACTTGACTCTTTTGTAGTGAGAATTAGGAGCACTTACTTCTTAAGATTGTTGTAAAGAATTAAATAGCATAATCCCTGTAAAGCACAGTGCAAGGGGCAAGATGCTCAGTAAACAGTAGCTACTAAAATTCATCACTGAAAGTTTCTGGAGCCCATCTGGTCCATGTCCTACCCCACACAATGATCTCATCTTATTCATTTAAGGACGTTATCCCTGGGCCTCTGTGGAATGGCTGGGGAGCAGTTAAAGGAAGATTTTGCAAAAAAAAAAAAAAGAGCAGGAAGTTCCTACTCTCCACACTGACTCCTCTTTCATAACAACTATCAGCTTCCTTGCTGCCAAGAATGGGTGAGGAGATAAGCCAAATGTTAGACCACAGGCAGGGCTGTCCCTTCACTTAACCTGAAGTGGGCCTCAGCCCTTAGCAAAGTCAAATTTCCCCCAGAAGGCAATCAGGCTTGTATCTGCGGGCTCTAAGACATAACTCCTTTGATAAAGGCTTTTCCAAGTGTACTGAAAAGAAACAAGCACCCTCTGTATGTTAGTTTCACAAATGGCCAAGCTTATAATGGATTTCTTAAGTCTGATATGAAAAGAGCTAAAAAGAAGGCAGCCAAAGCAGACAGAACCTGAAATTTTAGGCAAATAACAGAGGATCCACTGAGTCCATATACCAATCAATAGCCACATTCCAGCTTCCTGCCCTTCACATCACTAGTGCTGAGTAAGTTACACATTAAACACTATCAACTCATTCCTTTTACCTTACTTTATGAGGTATACCTAATCTCTGACCTAACAGAATCCTACCATTCTAGTTGAAAAATGGCAGGTTGGTGTGACTTATCCTCTTAGGTACAGGAAATAGTATATAAGGAAAGAGGAAAGCTCTATATGAATGTTAGTTTCTCTGATTTTTTTTTAGAAAAACAATTTCGACATACAACAGAGTAGACAGAAAAACAAAAGCATCCACAGGCCCACAACCAGATTTAATGTGAACAACTGTTATTTAATGGATTTTATTTATGTATAATTTCAATGACAATCTTCAAAAGTTATTTGAAGTGTCTTCCACTAAAGGTACAACAGAACAGTTTCAGATACTTCAGAAAAAGGATTCTATGAATATCTGTTTCTGGTCTTAGAACTGTAGCGACATGGCTACACTGTCCCTGTACCCGATGAGAATGTGGTCAACAAGTCCTGGAAAATGTATTCCGTAGTCAAGATATCACACTTTTATCGTTCAGAGATCTTCTGATATGATAAGGACCATAAGTGAAGACATATATATCCCAGATCATCTACCAACAGGTAAGTTATACCTATTTTATAGAAGAGGTCACTTATTCCACAAATTTTAAAAAGGAAAAAAATATTTAAGAGAACTCAATGATATTAAATGCTTTGGTAATATTAAGGGAAAAAAAGATGATCTCTTTCTTCAAATAATTTCGCACTTATTTGGGAAAATTAGTAATGTATATATGAAAACTTAACATGGCAAACGTGAGACTAATAACAAGCAGCATAGAAATAACAGGATAAAGTTGTTAATTCTTGAAGGAATGATTTCAGGATGAGTTCCTGGAAAAACGACGTTTTCTTCTAAAATGTTGAAAGATTCTTAGACTTAAACATGCAACAGGTATGAATGTGGGAGATCATTTCTGAGCAAACAGAAGCAGGAAAGCATTTTGGAAAATTATATAGTGTGAAACAGGCACACTGTGAAAGCTTCTAACCGTAAGTTAAGATGTTTGGACAGATAATGAAGTCAAGAGAATCGTTAAAAGTTTTGGTACACTCTGCTGCTCTGGAACACCTCTTCTTCATCTGTCAGATAAACTTTGAGATGCAGTTCAACTTCCATGGGGACGCATTCCCAAAGTTACAATGCAGTCAATGGCTCCATTCTCAGTAGCCACAGCGCTTTGCATTTATCTCTATTACATTGAATAGTGCTTCCCAAACACTGCATGAAAAAAATCACTGGGCAGCTTGTATAAAAGACAGCAAGGCACTGTTACTTTTTGTTTTTGTTTTTTTTTTTTTTTGAGATGGAGTTTCGCTCCAGTTGCACAGGTTGGAGTGCAATGGCGAAATCTCGGCTCACCGCAACCTCTGTCTTCAGGGTTCATTCGATTCTTTTGCCTCAACCTCCCGAGTAGCTAGGATTACAGGCATATGCCACCACGCTCAGCTTATTTTGTATTTTTAGTAGAGATGGGGTTTCTCCATGTTGGTCAGGCTGGTCTTGAACTCCCAATCTCAGGTGATCTGCCCGCCTCGGCCTCCCGCTGCGGCCTCCCAAAGTGTTGGAATTACAGGCGTGAGCCACTGCACCCGGCCAGCACTGTTACTCTCTAACCTTCAGGAATTAGCAGTCAGAGGAAGCCAATTTACACCCTAGAGGGGGAAGTGCTAACACTACCACTGGTCGTAGAACTGCAGTAACATGGCTACATTGTCCCTGCACCCAATGACAATGTGGACAATCTTATATTGTGATGAGAGTCTATAAAAATTTGTTGTTCCACGTGTTCATTTTTTCCTTGTCACCAAACTTCTCTCTAGACTTAAGTCCATTAAGCATAAATGATTTGCCAGAAATTCTACTTTTAAAACCAATGACTGAAAAAAAATACAGTTTTTTTCATATAACATATCAAAATTATTAAATAAACTCCTGGAACATTTAAGTAAATAGTCAGGTTTCCTTTCTTTAGAAACCTGTATCCATAGACTTCTGCTTTCTTCTCATTCTCACACATTTGCCATGCTAACACGCTTGTTAAGGTCAAACCAAAGCACCATTGCATAAAAGGATATTGTACTCAATACTGATGGTGTTGCTCTCTCACGGAAGTGCTTCATTCTCAGCTGCAAATATTCCCAGTTTAGAAGAGACAGCAAGAACAGAGTTTTAAATTGTCAGCATCAACAGCATTGATATTTCCTTTCCAACACCCCCCCATGACCCGTGCCATCTCCACTCAAGAGTGCCAAGCAATTCTCAAAAAGAATATGAACTGAATATGGGAAAACGATCAAAATGCTGGCAACCATATTAATAGTGTCAGTTTCTTTAGACTAATATAACTTAGGCCATAACTGACAACAAAAGATACATTCTAATCTGGTGCCTTCAAACAGTAATTTTATAAACAGCCAAAATGTAATATATTATTTTAAAAGTCATAAATACTTTTTAACTTTAAAAAGTTAAAATCCCAACAAGATTTTAATTTAGCTTAACAAGCTAAATTTAGAGTTAACAAGCTAACTCTAAACTTCATTCAAAATCCTATTCCAATTTGCGGGGGAGGAGGATATCCTATCGGATATCAAATCTATAAAATGATTCTAATGAAAACAATGTGATACTGGCACGATATAAAAACAGTTCAAGGAAGGAGAATACACTAGGAAGTTCAAAACTGAAGCCTGTACACAGGGTAATTTAGTATCAACAAAGGTGGCAGTTTAAGTGTGGAAAAACATAAAACATTCAATAAATGGTGAAGGGCTAACACCACTATTTGCGTGAGTGGGGAAGGAATCTTTAGATCATGAATACCTCAGATCATACAAAAATAAACTTCAGATGGACTGAGGAGCTAAAAATATGAAAGACACTAGAAGAAAATGTAAAGAGAATATATACTAATTTTAGAAGTGAGGGAAGCTTTCCTAAGCAGCGGGCAAAAAGCCCCCAAATTAATATTATTAATTTGTAATATTGATATATTTTATTAAAAACATTTAAAATTTCTATACAGCACAAGATATCATATTGTTAAAAGATAGCACTAGACTGGGAGAAAATATCAATGATTCTAATGTAATAACCATAATATTTAAAGAACTCCCACTGGGCAAAACGATATATTAGTAAGTAAATCAAAGAAAACTCTAATTGACAATAAATAAAATTTACAAATAATAAACTACCTCACCATTAGTAGTCAAGGAAATGCAAATCAAAACAGTAAAATGTCATTTTCACCCTGAAGACTGGCCAAAAAAAAAGACTTCTGTTGATAACGGTTTGGGAAATACACTATTAGTAGTAGTAGGAACTAACACAGTCCCTCTCTTCCTAACTTTTATTTTAGATTCAGGGGGTATATGTGGCAGTTTGTTATATGGGCAAATTGCTTGTTACATGAGATTTGAGGTAGGATGGATCCCGTCATCCAGGCAGTGAGCACAGTACCCAATAGTTAGTTTTTCAACCCTTGCCTGCTTCCCTCCTTCCCCATTTAGTAGTCCCCAGTGTCTACTGTTTCCATTTTTATGCCCACATAACACAGCCTTTTAAAAGAATTATCTGTGTTTATATGTTTAGTAAGCTCAGTAATTGTTTTTAGTGACCCTACAGATACAATCACATAAGTGTACGAAGATACACACACACACACACAAAATGACAAAATGATAGTGCTCAGTAAATATTAGCTATTAGCCAGAGATGTTTCTAAGAGCTTTAGAAACATCAACTCACTTAATTCTCACAGCAATCCTATAATTTAGGTTCCATAATTTTCATCCCCATTTTGCAGACAAGGAAACCAAGGCACAGAAAGGCTGAGTAACTCGCCCAAAGTCACAGACATAGTACGCATCGGAATCAGGATTTGACCAAGGCATTTCGTCTTCAGTACCTGAGCTCTTAACCATCACTACCGCTAGGTAGATCTACTGCCTTCTAAACAAGGATGTTCACTGCAATACTGTACATCATAGCAAAATGCTGGTAACAGCCATGATCAGCAACTGTAAAATAGACAATGGGCTGCTCATCATGTAAAATAGTAAATTATGTAGAATCAACATACACACAAATATTTAGAATACATTAAGTGAAAACAAATGAGACACAAAGAAGTAGCATAACTTCATTCGTGTCTCAAAAGCAACCTCTGTATGCAGTTTTGCATGTATGTCTATTGTTCATTTGTTCAGACAATTGTTTAAAAAATTATACACAAAATATTAATACTTAATACTAGTTTCTTCTGGGAAGGAGAACACGATTAGGGAGTAAGGGTGAAGAGAGGTTTTTCACTGGTTATTTATGTATCTTTGTGTTAGGTGACTTCTTTTATTAATATAAATGGCAAGTTATTGTTTTTCTATTAAAAACAAATTAAGCTAATAAGCAAACAGAGAGGCAGAGCCCCAGGTGAGATAAGATGCTAATATCATCAACAGCACTGATCTACTCTCCTCTAAAGCAATTACATTTGCTATGCTGATGGCTGAAGACTGAAGACGCCAAACCTCAACAAGAATTTTAAACATTTTGATGCTGATTATAACACAGTAAGATTGTCACACATTATTGCAAGAATATATAAAACATCATTAGTGAGAAATAAACTGGCTGAGTTCAAATTGTGGCTCTACTATTTAATAGCTGTATGATTCCAGGAAAGTGACTTAACCTCTTGATATCTCAATTTCCTCATTATAAAATGGAGATATTAGTATTTACCTTATATGGTTAATACTTGTAAAATCCTTATTACCTGCACAAAATATAGATTCATTTTGTTAGACAAAAATAACTTAAGAAAATGCATATATATACATGCTGATGTTAAGCTAACAGTACCATCTCCCTTTCCAAAGACATAAATAACCTCTGCAAAACAAACTAAATGTATAACACATAGTAAGTGTATAAGTGTTGTTGTGCAAAACTTTTTTTTTTTGAGACTGAGTCTCACTCTGTCGCCCAGGCTGGAGTGCAGTGACATGATCTTGGCTTACTGCAACGTCCGCCTCCCGAGTTCAAGCAATTCTCCTGCCTCAAGCCTCCTGAGTAGCTGGGACTACAGGTGCAAACCACCACGCCTGGCTAATTTTTGTATTTTTTAGTAGAGATGAGGTTTCACCATGTTGGCCAGGATGGTCTCAGTCTCTGAACATGTGATCCACCCTCCTTGACCTCTCAAAGTGCTGGGATTACAGGCGTGAGCCACTTCACCTGGCCTGCAAAACTTTTTTAGGCTATGCAGACACATGTATGAATGTGGTACCATAATGTAAAATTCACTTCTCATGGTCCAAAGAATATCACTATATTTTTTGGCTTAGGGCTCTGCCCTCTGCTGCTATATCCCAAGATCAAACCTCACCACATCAAGCCTGGCATCTATAACAGCGTCTTTCACTTAAGAGGGCTGCAAAGTAAACACTCTGTTCGAACCTTCATATATGCACAAACATCCTGTCTTAGAACAAATTCAAAACACCTTTCGTCCTAAGGTATCTTTTCTATTGTCTCTAGATTAAATCCACATCACTATTATTATATTTTTAATAGAGACCAAGCAATCCTCTCCCTGAAACTTTTATCCTCCCTAGTCAAAGCTCATCCTGATGTTAAGGCAACTTAATCTAAATCCTCACTGTTTGTAGGTTTATTTATAAACTTTTTGTTCTGTCACTTCAGTGGACAACACAGCTAAAAAAATTTTTAATTTTATACAAATCATTAAATTCACTCTACCAAAAGTAAGCATTTTATTATTTGTAGTTAACTACATTTCCAGAATAAAGGCATTACATATTATAATTGGCCTATTAAAATTAGGTGTTTAGTATTAGGCTTATTTCAGTAATAAATCAACTTTAGGCTGGTTCTCAAAATATTTTTCCTAGTACCCTGCCTGAGTCTCTCCAACACGTACACTATTTCTCCCATATTATGTCTGATATTCCCCATATAACTTGTTTAAAAAAGAAGTTAATTGTAAAGTCCCAAGAAACTCTAGGCTTGTTCCAGTTCGTGTGTGTGTGTGTGTGTGTGTGTGTGTGTGTGTGTGTGTGTGTTGCGGGGAGGGGGGAAGGAGACTAAAATTAATCTTAGATCTCTTATGCAGTATCTCCTAGATCTTTTTTATATACTGAAAACAGTAATTTGCATATCTTGTATAAATTCACTGAAAGCCAATTTAGAAATTCTTCAGTTCAATCCCCTCATTCTACAGATGATGAAATCTAGATCTAGAGAAGTTAAGCAACTTCCTCAAAGTCACATGCTTTGGACTGAAATGTATGATTATGTGACCGCTAACACCGTCTCATCTACTTGAAGAAGTGGCCCAAGATTACAAACATTAATTAATCACATACATTAAATGGTGGTATATTCCCTAGAACTTTTTTAAGTACTTAAAAATAATTACTTAAGGCATTTAGTGTTAAGTCTCATTTTACAGAAAAACAAGCTAAATCCTAAAAGTATTACTTCCTTGTTACTATATCAAAGTTAAGGATCAGATTTATTCTTAATGAATTAACTAGTACTTAAAGCACAGTATCGTACTTCCTCCAAATATTTCATTTCTAAATTTTTACTTTAATAAAGTTTCTCTTATTGTCTTTTTAAAAAATAATTTTCTGATACTAATGTTAAAATCATAATAAATTCATTAAAATAAAATTTTCTCTGGATCTCATACCTGTCGTTCATCCTCCATGACGTTACTAGCAAATTCAAATACTAGGTCGTTCTGTTGGACAACAGCAGCCATAATAAAGCATTCCCCTCAGATCCACATGAGAAAAATTCCAAACAGGTTCATGTATCAGGCAGAAAAATCCAGTGACCGATTTGGGTAAAAACCCTCAGCTCTGTCTGTGAAGTTACTATATACTCAAGTTTTCTTTAGGGAAGGTGCTTCAGTTTTCTTGGTTCATTGATATTCTAGTCAAATTCAGATAATTTTTTTGAAATTTTTCTTCTCTCAAGCTTCTTGGCCTAAAAAACAAAAGCTTAAATTAGTTACAAAAAAGCAATCCCCACTTAGAATATCATAACTGATACAGAGGGCAGTATCGCCAAAGAATTTTTTTGTTATTAATATTTTTAAATAAAATCAACATGACTAATGAACATAATGTTCTTTTTAAAAAGTTACATATTTCCTTTGAAGACTTTGCTCCTGCTAAGATCATTCTCATTACTGAAAATTATGCCTCTCTCCCCCTAATCCCAGTTAAACTACTGTTAAAATACTCAATTTCAAAAAAAAAAAAAAAAACATACAAAGAAACCCCAACAATAATAATGAGAGCTGTCATTGCAATAAAGGATATATAAACAATTTCATTCTTTTTACCAACCTAGCAGAGGACATACACAGAAACTGCTACCCCACGAGTAATTTCATAACGTGTATATATATATTTTCACCTCTAACAGAGGATTTATATAAGGATTTAAAATCTAATACATTTAAAGTTTAGTAAGAACTATTTTTAAATCTTTTAAAAATAGGCAGAAATTAAAGCCTACTCTTTCTGTTCTTTAAAAAGGCTTCTGATAAGTAGAATGTTTTAAAAATTACCATGCTAAAGTCTGTCTTCAGTGGCTTCTTTTTTAATGCACTGAAATGTATTCTTATCTCTAGCATAGGCTTGCAAGCAACAGGAAGGAAACAGCACTTGACCACGTCATGGCAAATTAGAACATGCAAAGAACTGCACTTTACAATAGTAGAAAAACAGAAACGCAACTTAGCAGTGAAAACAATTTCACAACGAAGAAAGAAAGGCTTTTATAATATTAGCCAAAGATGTTTGCCTATTTTTTAAAAAGTTATAGACACTAATAGAAGGAAAAGGAAAAAATTCTTTAGGTGTTTATCACAGTCTTATTAAATTTTCATCAAATGATTATGGTCATAAACGTGGCATGAAAAGACAAAGATATAAAAATAATCACATTAAGTAACGTCTAGTTCTTTGAATTACCATTTATAATTTTAATACAAACACTTTAAAAAAGAAGTTGACTCCAAGGAAAGGACGGCCAGTAATTTCCTAATCATTCAAACAGGCAAGTTTGGGGATGAAGCCGACCTGGTGAATCAGTTACCCTGAAAACGTAAATCCAGCTAGTATGTGCTAGCCAAATCACTTAATCATTTCCTAATTTCTGTAAAGACAAGTCCCTATGTGTTCTGGGCTTTCATGGCCATCATGGATGATTGTGATTTTCCCAGTAGGAACTCAAAATAAAGTAAGAATTAAGGATCCAAGTCAGATGATATTTCTACTTATTACACCAAATTTCAACCCAGCAAATTTCCTACTCTCATCCACTCCCTTTTAACAGCAAGTTCAACTCCAAATGTATTTCTAGTACTTTCAGGTGTTTTTTGAGCAATGTACCCTATCTAGAAGAGGAAAAAAAGTGTTTTGATCTAAATTGATCACAGATAGACATATTTGGCCTTGTACAGGTATTATTTACAATACCTTCTTCCTTAAATTATTATCCAACCCAATTCCTCTATAGCAGGCCTGCCTAATATTCCTCCACACAAACTATTCAATCTTGCCTTTTTTCTCAACTTCTGTTATTTCCCATGCCTGCAATACACACTCACTTCTACTTACCAGCATTCAATCCCATCTTTTCCACTCAATACTCAAGCCCCATTTATTTCACAAAGCCTCCCAACATCTCTGCCTCAAACTATAAGGGTTGCTCCCTTCAAAAACACGGCAATTGCTGCCCATACAAGCATAGCATTCACTGTAGTACACTGTCTCAAATTTGAAAACTGTGTCCCCTTAATTCAAGTGAATACATGTTTGAGTGCCAATTATTTGCAAGGCAATGTGCCAAGCACCAAGACAACTGAAGCAAAACCTCTTCTGGGGAAATAACCTTTGTCTAAAATTTCTTCTGTATTTCCCAAACCTGTGTGCCCACAGTGAAGACAAAAAGGATTACACTGATAACAGATACTGTTTTAAATATCTTATCAGGTCAGGCATGGTGGCTTACAGCTGTAACACCAGCATTTTGGGAGGCTGCTAGGGAAGAAGTCACTTGAGACTAGGAGTTTGAGACCGGCCAGAGCAACGTAGCAAGACCTTATCTCTACAAAAAAACAGAAAATTAGCCGGCTATGTTGGTGTGTGTGCACTTGTGATCCTAGATACTCTGGAGGCTGAGGCAGGAGGCTTGCGTGAGCCCAGGAGTTCAAGGCTGTAGTGAGCCATGACTGCCACTGCACTCCAACTTGCGTTACATAGTGAGAGTGTGTGTTTAATAAATAAATATCATTAGATATTTAAACTATTTCTACAAATATCCTTTATTTAAAAAAAGAATGACTGATGTATTCCTGATAAAGAGGAAACTATTATCGTAAGTTTGAAAAGCCATAGTAAGAAAATATAACCAGAATCAAGGGATGTTTGCTGATACAGAAGTTTTTCTGTAAAAGATTAGGTTCCAAAAGGCTATTTCAAAACCCGTTTGTTCATAAATGCAAAATGACATTGTCCCAATGGCCAATGTAAATTCATCTATGGAAACTTAAGTTTTACTTTCTTTTTGACTGCTGTCATGTGCTTTTTTGTATCAGCACTTCCACACTGCTACTGTGCTTTAACAGTTGTCTCGGAAATCTAAAAAATCAGAATAAGCAATCAATATACCCACACCTTATAGTACATACTAAAAACCAACACTAATAAATCAAAACTAAAAATGGCTCCCCACAATCACAAGCCACTTATTGAGGCAGAAAAAGACACCTTTGCTCCCATGTAGCTGTTGCTCATTTCTATAGAGAAGTCCATAAACTGAAAATGTGTTAAGAAAAGCATTTTATTGGCTTAATCATGCGTTTGACGCTCTGTCATCTTTCCTGCTCCTCTTCCTCTCCCCTGTGTACTTATATACCCTACAGCTGCAAGGAGATTCTTAAGAATACATTTTCTGATACCTGATCGAGAGGGAACACCTGTAGATATCAAAGATACTTAAATTACAAAGCTCAGGTATCTTACAATTTTTTTCAGTTATAGATAAGACTGAAGATCTAAATTAATGATTCCATTTTTCATTAGTAAATTGGGGTGGCCAAGTCCTTACAGTCTACAAGAAAAACAGAACAAAAACTAGAATTCTTGTTTCCTAAATCAGGACTCTCTCTAAAACTATACAGCCAGGCCTCTAAATCCACCAAAGTCCTTTCTGCTATAACAGTTTATAATACAGATTAAGTAAATATATATATCAAAAAAATTTAAATCTCCATCTCTAGGTTCAGCTTCTGAGCTCCAAATCCAGTCACCAAATTGTCTATCAGACAAGTCTACATCAGTGCCCCTTGAAGTCAGTGTGTAAAAAACATGTCCAAAACTAAATACATCATCTAATTCCTCAAATATGCTCTTAGATGGGAAAAAAATATGGGCACTCAGATTAGAAAGAAGGCATCCAGGCAGGCATCTATCAGATAAGAAATCTCAGGCTGGCTCAAATGTCTCTTAATTGGGTCAGGACCATATTTTATTCTCCGAGGAGTCTTGCCACAGGAATATTTATCAACAAGGTTCCTAACGCCTCATCCCCAAAACAAGCTTTGTAGTTAAGGTAAAATAGCAACACAAAGTAGTTCAGAGAGCAGGCTCTGGAGTCAGACTGCTTGGGTGCCAATCTTCTGCAGTGTGACCTTGGACAAGTTACTTACTGGGTGTCTCAGTCTCCTCGTTCCATAATGTAGGTAGTATCAGTCTCAAGTTTCCTCCTTCTGTAAAGTGGGTAAAGTAAATAATACCAAAACCTAGAGCTATTGTGAAGATTAGATGCAAAAATGCATGTGTAGAATACTTGACACATAATGTGCACTGAATTAACAATAGATTCTTTAGTGCTGTAAGTATATGCAAGAGATATGTAACAGGTGCATGCCAGATAACTAATTATTCCTTAAGTCTCATTTCTGTACTCCTTGGAAGTCTCCATTACCACAGCTATTTGCTAAACCCCCCAAAAAAGAACATCATAACCCATTATCAACAACAGTATAATTCCACTCCAGTGCTTAAAAGTTAGGTGTGTTTTTATTAAATCTGTTTCTTCAAGGCCAGGACTTCACTCTGGCAAGCTTCCCTAACACAGAGCCCCATTATGCCCCATTCCAAACAAAATGACTTCACTGATTGTAAACACAAAACCCTCAGCCACGCTACTAGCCACTATAACCAATTCAAATGGTTACCTTTTGTTTAATTTATTATAAAAGACTTCAGGTACTAAAAAAAATATGATAGTCAAAATTGATCACTGATTGAATGTAAATTTAAGATTCCTTTAAAGAGGTTTTTAGACACAAGGATATTAAACTCATGAATTCATAAATATATTTTTAAAGAATTGTCACTCTCCTTTTAGGTTACGCTGGTACCAGTTGTTTATGGTGAAAAATAATAAATAGACCAGGCACAGTGGCTCACAACTGTAATCCCAGCACTTTGAAAGGCCAAGGAGGGTGGATTACCTGAGGTCAGGAGTTCGAGACAAGCCTGACCAACAGGGCAAAACCCTGTCTCTATTAAAATAAAAATATTAGCTTGGCATGGTGGTGGGCACCTGTAATCCCAATACTTGGGAGGCTGAGGCAGGAGAATTGCTTGAACCCGGGAGGTGGGAGTTGCTGTGAGCTGAGATATGCCACAGCACTCCAGCCTAGGCGACAGAGCAAGACTCCATCTAAAAAAAAAAAAAAAAGAAAGAAAGAAAAGAATAAGAAAGAAAATTAATAAATAAAGAGAATCAATCAAACAAGCAAAAAGGTTTTAGATCAGACAATTCTGGGATAAAGAAGATGAAATATACCAGCTTAGAGCAATGAGGTGGTTGAATGGCTTCTCTAATAAAGTATGTAATTCAGACTGTGTGTGTGATTATGTATATATGCATGTTTGTAGGTTGGCAGCATCTAAAAAACTGGAATGCTACAGTAACTCTAGATACCAAGTAACTGAACAGAAAGAACTTTCACAAGATGTGGTAACTTAATAAATGGCCCTTTTCAATATATACAGATAGCCATTATGAGAAATGCAACGTATTTGGAAAAACTATTAGAAGAAATACAACAGAAATGAAAGAAAACAGAATAAGAAAAGTGAGAGAAGAGAAGCTATACAAAGTAGAAATGAGAAACAAGCAATAAATCCATAAACTGTAATGACTGAATTCCTGTGTGATGGACTATAATTTGGCCTTTTTAAAAATCTGTTTTCTATTATAATATGGTAGAATGTCTGTATTAGCTCCCAGCAGAAATGAAAAGTCAGTGGTATGAAGATAAATTCCACACAGTCTTCCAAAGGTTGCCAATTTTCAATCTAAAAAGGGTGAAATCACAGGATCTTAGAGCTGAAAAAGATCTAGGGATTGCCTTGGACAATATATTCACTTAAAAGATAAAGAATTTAGGACTAGAGCATTCTGATTTGTCCAATGACACACAGTCAGTTAGTGGCAAAGAAAGCAAAAAAAGCCCGGACTTCCTACTGGTACCTTTATATCTATATTAATAGAACTTCATTAATATTTTTTCCTTAGCAGAATATCTGGAAAAATAAGAAATCCCCTAGACAAATATCTAGCAAAACTACCTTACCATACCCCAGGACGATTGTTAATTAAAATGCTTTTATATATTATGCAACCTCTTGATACTTGGATAAATCATTTTCAACCATATTTTTAACTGAAACAACTGGTGCAAAGGGTTTGTAGATTTTCCTATTTATTGCTTTAAATCTTAAAATTTTACCATTATCTCCCAAATTAATTATATCATATTATCTTGCCTCACATTTTCACTCAGTTTAAAAAGTAAAAAGGAAACATGTATAAGCCTTTTTAGGGGGCTAACACAACTTAATAACTCATTAAAATACTACAAGATAGATTTGTACTGACATTTTTCTTTCTAGTTCTTTTTTTTTCTTTTTGAGACAGAGTCTTGCTCTATCGTTCTATCACTCAGGAGTGCACTGGCATGATCTCAGCTCACTGCGACCTCTGCCCGGGTTCAAGCAATTCTCATGCCTTACCCTCCTGAGTAGCTGGGACTATAGGGGTGTACTATCACATCTGGCTAATTTTTGTACTTTCAGTTGAGACGGTGTCTCACTATGTTGCCCAAGCTGGTCTCGAACTCCTGAGCTCAAGCAATCCGCTGGCCTCAGCCTCCCAAAGTGCTGGGATTACAGGGTTAGCCACTGTGCCCAGCCTTTCTAGTTATTTTAAACACAGTAGCATTGCTAGAATTTACATTAAAATATGTGGATATGGAAAAAATAATAAAGAAACATCCCCAAATGCAGGCATAGTTAAGAAACCAGATTTGAACTTTCCCAAAAAAGAGTAGTCATACTCTCTCAGTTCCTGCTGAGTTCCTATTTCTCTAAACACACAAAATTGAAGGGAAAAAACACAAGTTAATGTCACAAGGCAAACAAACCATTTCATTGCATTCAGTGTTCTCATAATTGAAAAGGAAAACGTTTCATTTAAAATTTTCATTTAAATTTTTTTCAAATATTCAACAAATTTAAGAAGGTTGAGAAAAAGTTTAAAACTGTGTTTCTGCAATCTAAACAGGTACTATTTATTTACTATATTTTAGGTAGCTATGCAAGGTAGCTACTTAAAATTAAGCATTCTTTTAATTTTAATTACTTTTTTCATTGTTGAATTCTTAATTAATTCAAAATGTTTTAAGAAAGTCAGCATATGCATATGGATTTTACAATAACATCCATAGGTTTCTATAATATGGTAAAATGAAAACAGCTATATTTTGATTTACTTTGAAAACTCAAAGAAAGATATCTAGGTTTGAGACTTCTGAATTATTTTACATTATTGTCATGTTCAAATTCTACTACATGGTGAAAATTCTAGCATTTTCCAGATGTATATTATTGTACAAAGGTAAAATGATAAAATTGATTATAGGAATGGGGAATAAAAAACCCAGAAAAACTTAAATTGGAGGAAACATAA